AACAAGTCTTCTTTCTATGCACACTTAATGAATTCATGCTTTACCGTAACACTTTAACATGACTTCAGAGTAATGGAGGGAAAAAGCATCAGCACCCCTCCCCAGAGCAGATATCACCAAATCTCACCCTAAATACCAACAAGGCTCTCGTGCAGTAACGAACAAATTACAATCCCTTAACCCTTATGGTTACAATCCAAAATAGACAAGAGATAATGAATTATATCATTAACTGAGAAAGAATTTTATTCAGAAACCCAAATTCCCAAGAAGACATAAAATTCACTTTGTGAAACTGAACTATAACTTTAGACACTGTAATTTTGAGAATACAAACATCACAAATACAGTTGTTAAATTACTAACACATTTAGTGTTTTCTTTACTTCTAAGTTTTCTCCCCCATAAGAGGAAACAAATCATTTTTCCTTTAGTTCAACTATGAAATCCCATTATGTCAGATGACTAAAAGTTAAGTTTTAGCCAGTGTGAACACATTAACAAATTCTAAAGCATTTGATATGGTTAAATGAGCGGTAAAATGAAATCTGGGTAGTTTATAACTATATTATGCAAACGGTAAGAGGAACACGTTTTATTAAAAGGAATGCCTCACCACACGCTCCTTTCTCTGATCTGAATGCCCTTTCTCCACCTTGTCCCCCAAGATGTGGGCTCTGATTGGTTCTAGCATTATCTGTTCAGTGAGGCCTCAGCAGACACACGCCCACCCTGCCCCTGCCAGCCTCCCCCAAGCTCTGACACACCATGTCTCTCTGTTCCTGAAGAAGCATTTCCTCTTCCCGTCTCCCATCACAAATACTACCTGGTATTTTCACCAAGTTATTTCTGTCTCCACTTCAAGTCCTAAGTTCCTTCAAGGTCTGGTTTTGGTCACCCTTACCTGCTCTATGTCTCTATGTAGATAAGTACATCTCCCAAGAATTATACATAAGCGTATACACACACACACACACACACACACACACACACACACACACACACGCGCGCGCACGCACGCACTTGTAATGGTTATAAATTTCATTCTGACCATACTGTCATACTGTTTGACTAAAGTATGTCATAGATAGAGTAAACATGAACACTGACAGTAATAGTACATGTTATAACCACATATTTTAATACTAAATATTACTATTAAATGTTAAATCAGGAGTATCTCTCAGTCAGTCCATAATATTCTAGTAATTTCAACCACGTTTAAAGGCATAAAGTACCTATGGAGGAAAATGCAATAGATAAGGGAGCTTTAAAATGTATGAGTCATAAAATAATAGGAAAAAAAATCTGAGATTCAACTAATCCAATAACGACAGAGGGAAAAAGAAAACCGCACTCACTTCTGCTCGCTGTTCAAATACCTCTGGACGATCTGGTTCCAAGGTAATTACTCGGCTCAATTCGAACAGAGCAAGTTCAGCATTCTTAATGTCCTTGAAAAGGCATTAGCTTAGTATGAGATACACTGTTACTCAAAATCAGGTTCAATAGTTTTTCTGAAAAAACTAAAAATTTAGTAAAGATATAACTACTTACTTAGAAGTAAATATGAACTTAGCTTCTAGATAAAAGAGCTGCTGGTCTAAATTCAGTTATGATTATTTAACTCACCCACGTCTACCTACCCATCAGTAGCCCATTAGACCTGGCTACATATCACAAGTTCCACTGATGGTAGGTTATTTTCTAAATTGAACCTATTTAAACACTGAATCAATGAATTTCAATGGATGAGTATGTGGATGGATAGCAGCATGCAAAATGATGCTGACCAGTGACAACATGGGGATACAAAGGGACCGAGTCAGTGTCCGTCAAAACCCCTAAGCCTACCTACCTACACCTTAGGAAGTCCAGGTAAGTTGTCTTTAAAATTTGCATGTTATTTTTATATTAGAAATATGAGCATGTCACTTTTACATTAAAAATGCATTAAAGATACAAGGAAATTTCATGTCGAGATATAAAATTAAAAGAGAGGAGAATTGGGAAGAAGCTCATCTCTGACAACTTCTGTCATTTATTGATGCTCTGAATGTAACACTGCTTCCTTCCTAAACACCTCTGTCATTCCCAGATCTGAGTTCGTTCTCAGTCCTCTATGTCTCAGAAGTATACAAATATTATATAAAATTTCACCAATAGGCCAGCACCTGATTAGTACAATTTTTTAAATTGGCAAAGACGAAAGTGATGCTTCTCCTTCAATCATCATTAATTTGAGTATTTCTAATATACAATAGGACAACAGAATAGTTTGTGTATAATAGTCTAACTGAAAATACAAAGATCTGAATCTTAAACTATTTCCTTATTTACCATATAGTCTCAGGAAAATCTTCATGTTTATACCATGGTGCCTTTGTTGAGTAAAATATGTCTATTATAACCCTCCTTCTGCATTCCCCACAGAAATAAGGGGAAGAAGGTGAAAATGATATACTTATCTGGGGGAGAGTATAATACATGATAACAAATAAAAATAATCTTTATCAAAAAAAAAAAAAACGCTTTTGATCTTTTATCCAACCTTTAAAAATTGTGAAAGAAACTCAGATTCTAAGTCCTACTGCACTATGCATCCCTAGACTCCACTTCTACCAATGAATATTTCTTGGGAATTCAGTTAAGGTCTCATACTTTCCTTGCTCTATGTCCAGCTCATCATGAAATGCAATTTAGGCTGGCAAGGCTGTCCTTTTAGAGTAGATGGCAAGACGGACTCCCAGGAGCCCTGGGTAGAGATCCCCAGTCCCCCGCTCCCACCTTCCTGGCCACGTGATGTTGAGTACATTCTCTAAAGCCACGTTCTCAGGCGAGAACTGGCGTGCCCCCACTGTGTGTCCATCGGCGCTCAATCAACAGGGAGCGGTTCTGTCGGAACCCTGGTCCAGGTCAGGTTATGTTAGGCACTATGGCAAGAGTAGCTATTCCATACTCACATGTAATCCCTTCTTTCCATAGGCTATCCCTCGGCCATAAATTGCACTAACCAGATCAGGCTCCTCCTAGTCAGACCAAAACAGAAACACGTCAAAAACTATAAACAAAACAAAACAAAACAAATCAGTTTCTGCGTAAAGCGCGTTAACGCCACAAGCAACAAGCTCTAGTTTATGCTACTGCCACACATACGTCCACACGCGGTCCCCAACCAGGAGAGTCAGTGTGCTTGGGGCTCATTTGAATGAGACACGTGATTAAGGTTCTTTGCGTTAAAAAAAATAATAAAGAGAACCAACATTAACGAGCCCTGTGCTAGTTTCTGTCACACGGTCATCTCCTTTAAAACATCCTCTCAACAACCCTATGACCAGCAGCGTCCGCGATCGTGTGCTCTGGGTGGGGAAACGGAGGCCTGGGGAAATAAACGGTTAGGCGCGAAGCACTGGGCAATGCTTCTTCCCAGTTTGTCCCCTCGCACAGTCATGAAATCATCTGAAAAGGGAAGAACCTCCCAGTGCCAACTCCATCGAGCAACAAGAAACGAGTCCACTCCACAATCGGTTGGGGTGAATGCAGTCCTTTATGCTATATGTCAGAATAGGAATCAGACCCTTTCTGCAAGCTGCCCCCTGATGGACTAGATGAAACCCTTCTCAGGCCCAAGGACAGGGTCCTCTGCCTCGCCACCAGGTCCCCACAAACAGGTCAGTGGTATGAAGCATCCCACTTCCTGAGGGAAATGTCTCTCTTCTACATTTAGCCTCTGCAATTTCTACCTCTTCTCGGAATCCTTCCTCTGCATTTAAGAAAGAAGATATAGCTTCTGGCTATATCGTCCGGGGTGAAACTCTTGATGCTGCTAAAGAATTGAACAGAACTGTACCAGAGGAGGCACTTTGTAGACTAGTCTATCATTCGGTGTCAAATGTGAGATAGGTTGTCTGCCCGCATTGCAGAAAAAGACTCAGCAACTCCAACAATAACGAGAAAAAATAAACGAGAAGATTCCATATATTGGAAAACAAAAAAGACTACTTGAAACAGAATCAGGTACACCCGTATCAAGCAGCAAACTGGTGCATCAGTGGCCTCAACCCAGCCGGCAGACTGGCTCACGGTGTATAAAAATGGGAAAAATGCAAGTAAACAGTGAAAGATCTCTAGCTTCACTTGAAAAATCAAAACATGCAGCAAAGATAAGCCCATATTTTTGCATTCTCTCATGAAAAAAAAAAAACCTAGAGCTAAGTACTGGCCGCTTCCTTAGATGAGGGGTGTGTACTCATCAGTTTCCCGGAAGCCCACCCATCACCTCTATGTCACAGCAGTCCACTTTGCTCATTTAAACCACTTCCCTGGCTCCAGACGGTTCTGTTTGGAGTTGGGATTTATAACTTATATGTGACTGGCATGAAGGGCTCCATGCTATGCGTTACATGGGAAAAAAGTCCAAGTTATAGAACTGCAGGGGAATGCCACTTCCTTTTATAAACAGTACTTATAAATGATTTGTGTGGGTCCGTACGTGCACAGAAAAGAATGCTCCAAAATGCTAACAGCAATTTTCTCTTGGGAGTGGGATTACGAGCTATGTTCCCACTCTACTTACTACCATTCCTTTTCCTTGTTCAAGACAAACATGTATACATTTATAGTCGGAAAAAGATGTTTTAAGTAATATGCGTTATGGAATATCGACATGTTTATTATAAACAAAACATTTTATTCAAATAAATAGTTGGAATACTTATTATAAACTACAGCAAAATCTAGAAAATGAAGAAAAGCACAAAGGAGAAGGGCACCCCATAATCCTGCCACCCAGAGATAATAACACTTGAAACATTTAAATATCCTCCCTGGCTGGAAAATAAAAAAGGCAGAGTGGGGCGCCTGGGTGGCTCAGTCGGTTGAGCGTCCGACTTCGGCTCAGGTCACGATCTCACGGTTTGTGGGTTCGAGCCCCGCGTCGGGCTCTGTGCTGACAGCTCGGACCCTGGAGCCTGCTTTGGATTCTGTGTCTCCCCCTCTCATCCTCCCCTCTCTCTCTGCCTCTTCCCTACGCACTGTCTCTCTCTCAAATATAAAAAATAAATAAATAAAAATAAAAAAGGCAGAGAGGCTGGTTTGGAGGGAGAGGGATACAGGCACGGAGGGAGAGGAAGAGCAGGGAAAACAGTTTCCTGATGAGGAATTAAGGTAAGATTAGGGGCGCCTGGGTGGCACAGTCGGTTAAGCGTCCGACTTCAGCCAGGTCACGATCTCGCGGTCCGTGAGTTCGAGCCCCGCGTCGGGCTCTGGGCTGTTGGCTCAGAGCCTGGAGCCTGCTTCCGATTCTGTGTCTCCCTCTCTCTCTGCCCCTCCCCTGTTCATGCTCTGTCTCTCTCTGTCCCAAAAATAAATAAACGTTGAAAAAAAAAAATTAAAAAAAAAAAAAAAAAAAGGTAAGATTGACTTCATGTGTTTCCATAGCAATACCACCTGCCAAGAGACAGTACAGTCCACAGAAAGTAGTACAGGCTGGGGCAGGGGGCAGTGAGCCCACATGGCTCTTCCCCTCTGAGGACGTTCTCCAGTGAATGGAACACCTGCTCTCAGATGTGTAATGTCTCAAAATATATGATCTAAGAAGCTTTTCTCCTAAAACTGAAAAAAATAATTATAAGGGGCAAATCAGAAAAAGAAAAAGTTTACGTAAATAAATAGTTCTTCTACTGAAGTGGCATCTCCATACACCCTGTATACCTACAACAGCCACATTCAAACATACTGTGGCTCTAACTCATAGTAAAAGGCCTTTTACGTCGTTACCCAGGATACACATACATATGTATGTGACATGCACGCGCACACACATACACGCATTAGAAATGAGAGTTGCACTAAGTCAAACCTAGTCTTCCTATTGACATGCAGTCTTCTAGTTTCTATTCCAGTGTGTTTCATTTTTTTAAAAGGTGTTAGTCTTCACTTGCCAATCAATTTCAGGCCCTACTAAAAGGCAGCAACTCACAATTTGAAAAACAATGAGATAACATCTAAATGCTTTGGTAGAAAATACCGGTCATTTTCTTGCCTTGTTCAGTCTCATCTCCTTCCACTTTCCACTCATAATTCGTACTCTGTAAACGAGTACTACTTCATAGCTCCCCAGATACAAGACGCTCTCCCAAGCTCAGCGTGCTACACATGCTAGTCCCTCTGCCAGGAACACTCACCCACTGCCTCAGCTCAAACACCACCTCTCCCCTGACTCCTTCCAGACTCCCCTGGAAAATAAATAAGCTCCTTTGCCTTGGTCCCTACAGTATACCGTACAGACATTAGAAATTTGGTCAACAAAGACTTAGGGCCAGCTTTCAGCCATGTCTGGTTTCATGTGTGAGGAATACCATAGTCACCAAAAACAAAGACAGAAGGTAAGATTCTTGCCTTCTTGGAGTTTAGCCAAAGAATCGCAAACATAAATGTAAAGTTACATGTTCAGTAAGAACAAGAGTAGTAAACAGTGCTTTTAGCAAATGCATAAAGACTAGACACGGTTAGGAAGGTTTCCCCCAGGTAGAGGTGCCTTGGATGAAATGTGTCACAGGTGAGGGCATCTCAGAGTAGCTGGTCCAGGCAGAGGGAGCCAAAGGCCCCAAGGCAAGCAGGAAGTATAGCATCTGCTCCAAGATGAGTTTGGAGAGGTAGACAGGGACGTTATTAAGGATTTTAATCTTCAAGCTAAAAACAACAGCAAAGTACGTGTGTGTTTTAAAGTGCAAAAGTGTACGTGTATGGATGGTGTGCATGTGTGTGGAGAGTGTGAGGTGATAATCCAGACAACCATGCCTGCACCGGTTATTTGGCAGGTGATAGGGGCTTGGCTGTGGTTTGACCAGAGCCAGGAGAAGCAGAGGGACAGGAGAGGTCCTTTGGGAGCTATCCAGAGAGAGTTGGTGCTGAAATCAGCAGCACACCGATGTGTGGAGCAGGTGGACTCACATATGCCAGTGAAGAAGGTGCCACCCATTGATCCGGGCAGCACTGGCACACAACTAGGGATTCCTTCTCAGTTATGGGTAAGGATGTGTGGAGGGATCAGGGGAAAGCATGCAGTCGAGTTGGAGCCTCTTAACAGAATTCCATTGAAGTCATTCTCTTATTACTCACTATACTGCGTCTGCACATTTGTCACCCACGGTGACAATCTCCTCAAGGGAATGTATCCTCATGTTTGGATTTGTGACACTTAGTCTTAGCCTGACACGTGAGTCTTAATATGTAGCAGTTGTTAGTTAGCAACAATCACTGGCCATTTTTTAGGCAGACAAGAAGATTTTAATGAGTATTAAAGACTATCAGATCAAAGTCAGCTTGGCCTGGCCTCCTCTTCTCAGAGGGGGAGCAAGCAGATGACCTGGCCAGAAACAATGGGGTACCGTGATTGGAAAAAAAGCCAATTCATAGTTCCATAAGGCAAAGCAGGGTGACACATGTGCCATTGGAATGGCTCCAGGTGGGCCACCAGCAATCACAGCTGTAATATTTTATAGCAATAAAAGATTTCAAGCCTTTAAAAGATAGCCATTAAACAGTTTGTAACAGTTCAAATATCTGAACACTGACAACTTCCTGAATTTGGTCATCATTATTTTGGCCCTTAGGATTTTATGTGTGGCTGCCACTGGCAGAGAACCCTATAGCGGCCCCACATGCCTCACTTCCCCAGCCCTCCCTCTGGGTCACCCACGTGGTCTGATGCTTGTGGCGGTGACTTTCAGTTCTGCCAGTCACAGATAACAAGTTGTATCAATCAAGACAAGTAACAAAATCTATTATTTAACAACAACAATAATTACACATCCTGCTATACTGTTTAAAAAGAAATTCTAGGGCACCTGGGTGGCACAGTCAGTTAAACATCTGACCCTTGGTCTCAGCTCAGGTCATGATCTCACAGTTCATGAGTTCGAGCCCCACATCAGGCTCTGCATGGAGCCTGCTTGGGATTCTGTCTCTCTTTCTCTCTGCACCGCCCTCCCGCCCCACCGCCGCTTGTGCACTCACTCTCTCTCAAAATAAATAAATAAACTTAAAAAAAATAAAAAGAAATTCTAGAGGCCACTGGCTGGCCAACGAACTCACAAGCGTCAGTAGTGTTCTACATAAGGGTCAAGTCTTTCCCTAACACCATGAGGGTCTCTGGTCCAGTGAGTGGAGTTTAATAGTAATTCTTGCTACATGTAAAAAAAAAAAAAAAAAAAAAAGTAATTCTAAAAAAAAAGGAAATTGAATACAGAAACCTAAATATTGTGTGAATCTGTAAGGGATTATTGTGGTTGTTATTTCAGTTACAATCTAGTATTAAGAGGTCCTAAATTTAAAGGGCAGATTTTCTTACCTTTCTTGATTGATACAAGTTTATTATTTTGTCTATCATGGGCTTTGGATGTTAACAAGAAGTCAAAGATCTTTAAGAAATGTCATAATGCATTATATTTTCAGCTAAAAACCAATGTTTACTTCTAAAAACAAATTGGGCTCAGAATACCCATTTTTCAAAAGATTTTTGAGTCTACAAGTCTAATAATATTTACGTTTTGTCAAATGTTCAGTATTTTACTTTATTTTTTTAAATATTTATTTATTTTGAGGAGAGTGCAAGCATGGGAGGGGGGGAGAGAGAGGGACACAGAGGATCTGAAGCGGGCTCTGCACTGACAGGCTGACAGGAGAGAGCCTGATGTGGGGCTCGAACTCACGAACCACAAGACCATCATCTGAACCGAAGTTGGATGCTCAACAGACAGAGCCACCCAGGTGCCCCTAAGTGTTCTGAATTTGAAATGACTTCAATGAAAACTAAGATTTCAATCTTCCAATATTACTTACTTTATGCGAATGCACAATCATTATATAATAAGATAGTTACATTACTGGAATCATGTACACTTAGATATCTCAAGTCCCAAGACATCGATCTCCTTAAATTCAGAAAGGTCTAATTTACTATCCTCATTATACCATTTATAGAGGGGCTTTAAATTTTACAAATATTTATTTTTCCACTACCAAGCCTGGCTTTCGGATTAAAACTCAAAAGTCACTGGATCAAAGACAAATAAGTCAAAAAAGTCAGTGCACAGCAAGGTAATGAGGACTGAGTTTTGCCCGAGCTGCAGACCCACATACATAATTACATGAAGGATGTTCACAAATCACACAGAGAGGCATATTTCCTATTTTGTCTGCTCGTGTGAAATAAGAAACATTTTTATGGATTCAGTTCCACCCAAAGCAGATGAGCTCAAGCCCACACAATTAATAACAAAGGCCAATGGCTTCATAAAACTTCTGTAGCACTTAGCTTACCGAGCCCCGCCTGGGGACCAAAGAAGCACAGGGAATGGTTCTGCTTTTCAAAAACACGGTCTTCGATGCACGGACATGCGGAAGGACACTCAGAGAGAGCACTAATTCACAAGCTTTTAAACCAAGAATTTTCAATGCACTCTGATAGATCTATGAAGCTTTGAAATTATGCTCAGTTAGAAACCTGCATGCTTGAGGAGTTTTTTTTTTTTCCTTCCTTTATAGCTGTACAAAGTACCCCCTAGTTAGAGAACTACTCAAATACTTCACGGCAACAGAAACTGTGGAAACATCTTGTAAGTTTGCCCCTCATGGTGCAGCTAAGAAAAAAAGGTTTAAAAGCTTTACATCAAAAGGTCACGCTGGAATTTAAGTAGCCCACATGCACAGATCCAAATTGCACATTAAATGATCTTATAAAAACAATAAATCTCATATAATCCAAGCCCTCATGGTCCCATTTGTTTTCAGCTTTCTGTGAAAGGAATCAGGTTCCACACTCTGCTGCTGGATACTGGAGGAGCTCACGGGCTGTCCAAACGAAAAGTCTTATCAAGCGTTCGTGAGCTCAAAATCCCTGAAACGCTTGTGTGCAAACAGTTACCACTGCAGGTTTGCTAGAGGATGTGTGCTGGCTTACAGAGTTTCTGCCCGTGCAAAGGGTCCTGCAGGGAACAGGTGAACCCCCACTGGCACGTGCTGACAAAAATGGTCCTGCAGTGGTACTCAGTCCTGTCCTAACATGGACAGGGAAAGGCAAGAGGGCAGCATCCATGCAGCAGTGGTGAGCAAACCGCTCTTCAGGACCCTGGACACGGAAAAGTTTTGTCCTGAAAGGCAGGACTGAGTTTCTCATTTAAAAAAATAATAAATTTTTAAATGTTTGTGTATTTTTGAGAGCGAGAGAGACACACAGTGTGAGCAGGGGAGGGCCAGACACAGAATCCGAAACAGGCTCCAGGCTCTGGGCTGTCAGCACAGAGCCCGATGTGGGGCTTGAAGTTTCAAACCGTGAGATCATGACCTGAGTTGAAGTGAGATGCTCAGCCGACTGAGCCACCTAGGTGCCCCTCTCATTAAAATTTTTGAAAAGAATTTTAGCATTTTTTAACCAATCTTTATATCCTGTGTTTCTGATAGTTATGGAACACGAAGACAACTTAACAAATTTTCACTGAGCTCTATCCAGATGCCTCTGTGTTTGCTTTTGTTTACTCCAGTGTGTTGTGTGAATAGGCTTTTCCACACATGTCCTAATGTGGATAAGGCTGGGAAGCACCGAGACAAAGGCACAGAAGACAGAAGTCACCAAGAACAGCACCAGC